TTTGTACATTGTTGCCATTATTGTTCGCATACATGACAATTGTCTGTGGATTGTAAATAGATGGCAGAAGAGTTATTTCTGCATCTTTGACGTAGCCATTTTGCAAAAGCGATGCTTGAATAGCTTTCGGCGATGGAAAGATACTAACAGCAAGAATTTCAATGACAATGGGAAAAACGAAGAATCCAAATATGAACACATATTGCCGCCGAAGAACATGCCATCGTTTTATAAGTAATGCAAGAATACGAAGCCAAAATCTTTTGGTGCCAGTATGACGTTGATGTTCCGTACGAAAAACTATTGGAGAATGAAATCAAATTTAACAAAACCAATAAAACAAGTATCTACCTCGATCGGCTAATTCGACTTTGGAGGACTTAGGATCTTGTTTGCCAGTCTCTTGCTCTTCTGTTTCCTGAATTAACCTATATCGAAGAAAAAAAAACATACTATCAATCAAGGCGGATTAGTGAGTGCAAGATCTGTACCTTAGGAAAACTTCTTCGATGGTTGTCATCGATAATCCATAACTTTCCACGCCAATATTCATTCTCTCTGCTTCCAATGCATGAATCAACTGACCTATCTGTTTAGATTCAGTCCGTCTGATGCCAAATACTATCTCTGCTGATGATTCTCGTTCGACCACTAATTGTGGAATATATCGCTCAATGAATCCACGAACGCGTTCATTGGTGCTTGTTTCTTGTTTATCGATAAACAGACGATATTCAAACTCTACAGAAAAATTTCGAAAAGTATTTCAATGATGGTTTTGAGAAATGAACTCATTCACCTGTTTGACTTTTGAGAAAATCAGGTGTACCGTTTGCCTGTAAACGGCCACTTGTCATGATGGCGATACGATCAGAAAGAACATCAGCTTCTTCGAGAAAATGAGTGGTGAGGATGATACATTTGCCTGCTTCTTTCATTTTTCGAATGATTGTCCAAATCAATCGACGATTGTATGGATCTAGACGATACCGAAGAAAGCAAAACTCGTTCTGGTAGTGAGCAAAGAGATATGAATTACCGATGCCACTTGTTGGTTCATCAAGAATAAGTACCTGAAGACGAAGACAGTCATTAGTATAAATAAAAATCAACTTTGCATACTTTTGGGTCGCCCATAAGCGAAATACCAATAGACAGCCGTCGTTTCATACCACCGGATAGATTTTTTGAGAATGTATGTTGATCGTTGACTAGACCAATGAGTTGCAAAATGGCATCGATAGCTTCTTTCATTACACTTGGTTTCATATGACGCATCTAGGAGATAAAAATGCTAACCTTTTAAACTTTTCTACTAATCAAAATCCTTTACGCTATAAGCTAGAAACTAGGTGACTGCTATGATCATCACGCGATGATGAAAGGAGCTTTATTAAAATTTTTTTAATTCTGAGATGCTAATGAGTACGGTGCAAATAATTATGATGTATATAGGCTATGTCGATTATTATGAAATAAAACTTTATCTAAATTATTGGTCCGTAAACGGTCATAATTTCTTTTTTGACATGCACAAATTCATATACACACCTTTCCAACCAATTCCAAATGTTCTTTCACTGATAGCTCATTATACAGAATATCTAAAATTATATCAATTTTATAGTACTCTTTCACACAAATGTCGTAGTTTTACCATATTGTGGACAAAAACCAAGAATTTTTCGAACATCTTGAATATGCTGACGAGTATCCAATCCTTCAATGATGACTTCACCTGATGTTGCTTCCAGCATTCCTACGAGAGTGACGCATCTTCTTGTATTCTCATCGATCACTATCAATTACTACTTACCAACAAGAATAAAAGTTGTCGTTGTCTTGCCGGCACCATTATGGCCCAGCAGCGAACATACTTCACCACTGTAGAATTTCAATGATAGATCTGATACTGCACAGAATTTACCATATTTCTACAGTTAAACACTCTTAATTTTGTTCTCTCCGCCTTGTTTCAATGTCACTTACTTTGGTGAGATGAGAAACTGTCAGTGATGGATTTTTCATCTTCTTGGCTGAATTCATTTCAATCCAACAATTCTTTTCAGTTACCACATCACCATTCATAAACTGAGCGTGGCTACTCAACGGTTCAACGGTCGACGTTGCCTTCGAATTCCAATATGATTGTTTGAAGAGATAATTCCACGATTGTGATACTCCAAATTCACCCGGATTGATTCTCTCGACATAGATAGCCAATAATAAATAGACGACAGAATAGAACAACATGACAAGAAGACATACACCAATATACAATGGGTATGGAAAGATATTGGTATAGAACTGACTTAGTGTTGTTAAATTAGCTAAATATAAACCGTATTTCAGTCATTGAACGGTAAAATAAAGAAAGATATCATACCTCCATTGCGTTCATACTGAAGAACAATTTGTAGACAAAACATCAAACTCGTGTTGGGGAAGATACATAAGATATAACGAGTGACAGCTGATACACCGGGATAAAAGTCAATAAAAGTAATAACCCATACCACAAACCCAATGAGTTTGGCCAGTAATGCTAAAAAAGAGAAAAGAATCGATTAAATCGAGGATCGCAATCTATTCGGATCTTCGTACGCCGTTTGAAAAATTGCCCAAAGAGGACACTAAACGCCGATACTTGGATAGAATAAACAAACAAGATTATCCAGATAACTGTCCAATGTGTGTAGTTGAATAATGCTTTACTGACACGACCAGGCCGTGAGTTTGCACTTGGTAAAAGTACCATACTTAAAGCTGTGACTACACTTGTTAGAATCAGATAGATAGACATTGATCGAGTAACCCACACTAAATTATTAATCCATGTACGAAGACCGTAGATTCGAAGATACTCCTAAACGTTCACAAAAGTTTTGTTTGACATATTTAAGAGAGATATGTTGTATTACTTTCGTTTTGTTTTCTCTCTCTTCGACAACGTATCCAACATTCATAATGAAAGTGACAACAAAGATAAAGGAAAAAAATATCGGGATGAAGAATCCATAGAATGAATGTAATTGATCCATATAGTAAGCCGGACAACCAAAATGATTGAGGTATAGCTATTAATAAAATAAGTCATTCTATCTGTAATAATTTGCATGAAAACTTACACTAGACGTAAAGTTTTCCGTCGTATTCGTGACATACTTAATAACAGCCATATCAACAACATACTGTATACCGAGAAATCTATAGAAGTAGTTCACCGTATTACCAGTAGCTGAAAATAGTATTCATAGATTTGAAAGATTGTGTTGGGCATTATTAATGTTTTACCTTGACAAAAATCTTGAGGAGATCGTTTCCACATGTAATCGTTCTCGGATATCTTCACATCTTGAGGAGAGTAATAGTATGGGCTGCTCCTGAAAGTGATCTTTAGTGTAAATTAAAAGAGGACATTTCTTGACATACTCGAGCATACGCAAAGTATATTTAACCACGTCTGGTACTGTTGATGGACTAGTGCATGAATCAAGATTAGTAAACTGAATATAAGCAATCAATGACTGTATAGTTGAGTTCGGTACTGTTGCCAAAGTTGGATCCGATACTGGTTGAACTATCAAAAGAAAAATTTCTTCCACCATGTTAATTCTCAGATAGAACATACTGGTATTCTTAAAACCTGGCAGCGTATATGTAAGGTTATTCAACAACCCAGTAACAATACTCGTCGTACATGGATTTTCTAAAGAAAAGCTCCTTCAAAAACGATCAAATTCCATGACGAACTTACCTGGATAGTATAGAATATATTTATCTGTACTACGAATTGCAAAATTGTCATATGGGCGAAAGCGAGATACTCGATAGGGACCATAGTATCGTCGGTCAAGAATGTAACGCATGCCAAGTAGAAAGCCCATAAAGGTATAAGCTAACAAAATCTCAGCAATCGTCTGGCCAGGTTTTCGTATTGTTAACAGAAATGTTCTCGTGAACAATGCTCGAAAGTCACTGAGAATTTTAATCAAAGTGCCATGACGGCGGGGATTCACATCATATTTCAACATCGTTGTTTCTTCGACTGTTTATAACATCTAGGATATAACATAAATACAAATGACAACTCCAGCTTATCTGCATTCATGACAATGAAAAAAGCAACAATGGCAATGAGTGAAAAACATGCTTTTTGCACTCTATATTTTCGCGTATATTAAATCTTGTCAACTGGTGAAGCGACAACGAGCAGAGATTATGAGATAGCTTGAGAAAGTAAAAGTATTAAATTATCGTTATTCGAATAGAAAAAAGAGAATTTCCGCTTCAGTTAGTTAGTTTTCTGTTTTTTTCTCTTATCAAACACATGTATCTTATTATGCACTTTTGCTAATTGATGATCAGCATGTCATGATCATTGAGACATAAGATCGAAACGTTATTCCGTTAACTATTTCCTCAAGACTTCTCGAAAAACTGATGGCGATTGAATCTGGTAGAGCGGTATGACAGAGGACATTTGATAGCACAACAATTCCATTGAACAGATATGTTCCATGAAAACCGAGTGAAGTTAGAGGAGATGAAGATGTATCTGTGAATTTGTTTACATCATTTGATTGATTGACTTACTTCAACAACAGATAATTGATTATTTGAATTTAATCTCACCAAATATTTCTGTTATTCACAACTGGCGGCTGAAGCTGTCGAAGGTAGAAAAACAACATTGGTCGATGAATATGTGGAATAAAAGAAGAAACGCAAAACGACGTGTTTTGATGTAGCATCTCCTTTTTTTCTTCTTTATCATAGATTATAAGAAGAAAATTTACTCCCACGGATTTGTGTCAAGAAAAAAGACGCTTTTTTCCATCTACCAGACGAAGAGAATCTTGCATACTTTTCTTTAAAGTCTAGCTTTGCTGACGTAGATGGTTAAAGTGGAAAAATATTGAAATGTCTTTTATATTTTATTATCTCATAAAATGAAATGTCATAGGTTATCGTATATATGTATGCATTTTATTTAAAATTCATGAATTATTTTCCAGAATCTCTTCAACACGAGAATCTAAACTGCCTTGTCGACTCATGGGTAATGACGAAGATGTTGGCGGCACTAAACCTTTCTTCTTGTAATCATTGTTGATCATAGATGGATCGATGCTCATCTGTTTGTTCATTGTTGGGTGTGAAAGGAAATTTTTTGCACGTCGTCGCGTTGAAATAGGTAAAAGAGAATGATTCAATGCACGTTGACTTAATTCATGTGTCATCGCATAGATACGGCTGGTGTCAAGAGGAAGAATTGCTGCAAAGCTTCCGTTGATTAAACACGGATTGTGCGGAGCGTTGGATAAGACGAGAGACATGCGAAAATCATCAGAAAGATGCTTCATTTTATTAGGTCGTCCTTTTGGTATCAGATGATCGATTGGACTAGGAATTTTATTGACCAATTGCTGAATAATTTGCCAATCACGACGAATATCACTGGTATTTGTTGATGATGCTGTCACGGTAAAGCGAATGATATATTTGCCTTTGATTGATGCTGGAACGCAATGAATTCTTCCATCCATATTCAGATCTTTTAACAACTGTTCAGTCAATTCATTTCCACCCTATGACAGTGGCGTTAATTGAGAAGAGAGACAGAGAAAGAAAATAGGGAAAACCTTTAATCGAAACGTTACAAGGCCAAGATGCCGTTCAGCGGGAACTTCAAATCGATCGTCAGACTTCACTAACGACTCAAATAGTTTAGCCATTTCAACACCCTAGAAGAGTAAAAGAATGTAAGTGACAACTCAGACATGAAATCTTTACATTTCTAATATGCTTTTGAAGACCTTCAATGCCGAATGAACGAATAACAAACCAAAGTTTCAGTGCTCGAAATCGCCGGCTTAATGGTACTTGCCAATGCTATAAAAACTAGGGCGTCTCTCTTGCTGTCTATAAGTAATCGATCAATCCTACCATATAATCAATTGCTACGCCAGCGTTCTCATGTTGAAGATACAATGGATCGACATTGAACGCTCGATGTAGTGCTGGACTTGATTTGACCCTATGAACATATCAATAAGAAAAAACTTTGCCTATCATCATTCCTTTCCATACCACAAGGCAGTACAATCGAAATGAACCTGCATGTAATCAAATAAAATATTCAATTAGAAAAATGAGCTAGAAACTAACCATTAGCCATTTTGATGGATTAAAAGCAAATGACTGTGTGAATTCCACTCCATTCATAAAATGTCGAAATTCAGGACAAATAAATGCACTTCCTGCGTATGCAGCATCAACATGAATCCAAATTTGTTCTCGTTCGCCTAATTGAGGACTTATTTTTACAAAAAATAATATTTTTTCACACGAATAAAACTCACAGATTGCACCTAATTCCATAAGATTGTCAAACGCACATGCACCCGTGGTTCCCAATGTTGCACAAAGCTATCGCGATTATTAATTAGAAAGCTTCGATCCCTATTTCTACTCACATAGAATGGTATAAGACCATTTTCTTTGTCTTTAGCAATAGCCTGCCGTAACGCATTTCCTCGTAAACGTAAACTTTCATCACTTGACACAAGATTCAATTTCACCAAACCGATAAGACATGCTTTTTCCACCGATGAATGTGCTTGGTCTGAACAATAAGCCACTAGGCGACCGTTAATTTCCGCTGGACTCAAGTACGGAAATTGTGCTTGCACTCGATGAATGACTTCTTTTCGAGCAGCAAGTAACGCTACAAGTGTAGCTTCTGAAGCCGTAGTCTAAACACATCTTGATTCTTATTCACATAGAATTCGATGATTTCTTCCTACTTGAATCACACCTCCGCCAGTCGTATTCTCTTGCGAATGAAGAAAATCATTTGGTAAACCAATCATTTTCGCCAACCAATCCATGACTATAGTTTCCAACTCCGTACATGCTGGACTCGACGCCTATTTACATGAAAACTTGCATGCATGTCCAATTAAAACTGACAGGTTTATTAACAAAGATTACTGTTTTGTATCATTAGTCCACAAGATGACTAATAGTAATAAAACTATCGGAGTTGTTCATTAGTTGCACCACTAATATCTGTTCAAAAGTATCCTCGTCTATAACATATTTCTGATCATCTTGATCTCATTAAAAATCTCATGTTCAGTATACACAGTAAGCATGAAACAAGCTGTTTCAGTTTACATACCCATGTAAATCCTAATTGATTTAAGCCGTTGGCTAACATATCCTACGTGAAAAAGAATCAACATACGATTTGTTTGTGAAGATATCGATCGCATACGCCAAGCATCGATGGATAGGAATTCAATGCTGGAAAATAAGCATGCATATACGGTGATTGCCAATGAGTAATCTAAAGAAATTGAAATGAAATAATCATTCGAGAATATTTCGCTTGAAGAGGACCTACACCGGGCATGATGACACGTTCGACATCCTTGAAAATATCGTCCCATTGCTCACCATATCGTGGTGCTTCTTCATCGACCATGGACCGCATATAGCCTGGTTTGACATTTGGTAAGACACGTCGTGATCGAATATCTGTTAGATAATCAGCAATAAAATCGACCATTTCTTTTCCTAAATGTAGATTCAAATAATTTAGTCCGGCAATTGTATTTTTTTCACCTACCTCGTTGACGAAATTCTTCGGCATCCATGCTGAATTTAACGACAAACGGAATACTAAATGATATTGTATATAGGTTTGAACTTGCTCAATTAGTTTTTCTCGATGAAATAAAAGATCTACTTTCTCTCGTATCTTCTCTTTTCTTCTCTTCTCTCCTTACTAATGATCGACTTGGAAAACACGCTAAACTTCTACAATGAAACTCCTCATGATTCAATTAAGACTGAACCATTTTTCACGGAAATGAATCATTCCTCATGTAATCTTCGTAAGTCCAAATTTACTTAATTGTCGTTTGAGAAATATGCAGTTGAAAAGAATCGGATCGAATGTTCACATACATCGGTAAAATTGGCAAGCAGATGCGCGAAACTAAGGCGAAACATCGATCAAAAGAAATTAGTTGGGATAGTCTGTGTTACATTTTCATTTGATCAAAATGAACAATAGTTTAGAATCGAGTGTTTATTTAGGATTTTGTTTTCATTTACACAACTGCTTTCTTTTTAGCTTTCCATTTAACATCAAAGAGATCGCTAAACTTCGTTGTCTTTCACTTCTACTTAATGAAGCTACTAGATTCATTCGTATAGTCATTCTTAGTAGTTATCAAGATACAACCAACGATAAAAATACTATTCAATTTTACTGTAATTCTTTGTACGATTTATTCAATAAAATTAGAAAATATCACGGTTAAGTTTCGAAGTGATTTAAAAGCACTTGTTACCATTCTTTAAATTGAAACATCGACAACCGACATTTGGAATGCAACGTTCGCCAGCTAGACAGCATTGAGTTTTGTGCGGCATATATTCACATGTTTGTTGACCTGGTGGACAATCTTTGATTGCCGATGAATCTTTTTCATTCGATGCGAGAATAGGATCAATGACAGATTTCCAATCATTTAGTGACCAGGATGCATCAGCACTTGTTGCTACACCATTGATAAGGAATGTCGGTGTACCAACAACGCCTAAAACACAGAGATAGATTGTCTCATCGGATCATCTCGTTGAATTACCTCTTGAACAAGCGTATTTCCATGAGATACGTGTTTCATCATTGAGATCATCACTAGTCATGCCTGCTAAGAATTTATCTTTAGTAATGAAACCAAGTTGAGCAACAAATGTTGCCAATGAGTTAACAACTTCCGGCATTGTCATTGATTTTGTTGCATCATTGTACCAAGTTTGTTGGTTTTGAAATATAGCGGTTGCAGTTTTAAAAATCGCATCCGAATTTCGATTAGTTGCATTGGCAATAACGTGAAGACCTTGTGAAACAACGAATGAATTGGTATGATAAGGTAATGGGAATGTATGTATGCGAAAATGAATTCGTGTTCCATAAGCTTGAATTACTTGTAAAATAGTTGGCCATGAAGCTTTACAATCCGGACATAGTGGATCTAGGAACATTTCAATCACTGCATGAGCATCCGCTGGACCGCCAACACCCCATCCATCTGGACGTGACGGAATTGGTACTTGACCGGATACAAAGGTCAAAGCGAGAAAAAGAACAACACTAATAGTCTGCATCGATATTGTTAATATAAAAATACAAAAATGCTTTTTGTGCTTATTCATCTGTCGACTTATATACACATACAAGATAAAGATAAGATAACACTTGCACATCATAATGACTAGAGAGAATTTTGATCTGTGTATTTTTTCGTTTCGTCATGCTCTCGACATGTCATTCTGTGAACTACATTAAAGATACACAAATTACAGCATAGTTCTTTTACCAATGATTCAAATGTAGTTTATGCTTTCTTTTTACGTTTATTCAACAAGAAAATATATTCAAACATATTCTATTCAGATATTCACCTAATTATACGAAAGATTCCTTTTTTCTCTTCATTATCTTCAAAATAGTCTCCTTGAGAACACAGCAAGATATGTTAACACATAGAAGAACTGTTATTTATCAATCAAATAGTTATTAATTGACTGTAGTTACCTGCTGGTTCGATTGAAAAATTTTTCGAATAGGACAAGGATTTAATGTTCGTATTAAAATCAAATTTGACCGCCTAGATATGAATTTCGTTTTTCCTTCATTTCGCACGTACAAAAAAAATGTGTAATCTGATTTGTCATGCAATTCATTTCAGCTCCGGCACGTTCAATTGACTTTTTGTCATTAACTAACACCATCTGACCATTAATGACAATGTCACTAGTTTGAAGATTGAAACGAAATGAGAAACTCTGTTGACAGGTTCATAATTACCATGCTTTCAATACACAAACATGCACTTGCTTAATCAACTTTTCGTCTTATCACTATTTAACCATCATCACACGACGCGGTGCGCGTGAATGCGCATGTTCTTGTTCATTTGATAGTTCAAATATATGTTGAACAGTCAACGATCAGTCAGACGTATATCTCTTTGTAGTAAGTATGTAAAGATCTTTCCCTTTCAGTTCAGTCGCCGCCCAGACATATTTATTCATATTCATAAAAAATCAACGTAAAAAAAAGACAAAATTCATGACTGTTAGACATCTTTAGTATGTATATACATCTAGTCATAGGTGTGTATATATCTGCTAAGGGTCATGCATATCTGGGAGGGACAAGTGTATGTATGTATATATTATATATATATTTAACGTCGACTAGTGAATTGTACGCTCGTCAAGGAGGTTAATTGTATGTCGTAGTTGTTCAATAGATTGTGTGTATGTATATTTTAGTCATATTCTTTATTTTTTTTTCGTCTCGTCGACTGTCTCATGGGGCAAATGACACGTCGTATGAGTGTATACGGCTTCTTTTGACTCGAAAGGATGGTTCCATTTTCTTCGAAATAACCGACAACAAAACATACAGACGTCGTCGAAGAACATACATAGACGAACAGTAAAGAGAGATTCATTAGGTTTAGGTGAAGATTTCATCAATGAATTTAATTGTTTAATATCATAATTTGACAAGTAGTGCGTTCGAAAACTATGAAATGTCAAGTGAGTTCATTGATCATATTCATGACAGTCGTTCGCTAACGACTTACTCTTTGACGATGATTTGATTCATATCAAATGAAACAATTCTTCATTGATATGTTGTTCAAGTTACATTCACTTTAGCGTATGTATTCTCTCGCTTTTTGTTTCTAAATATACTATTCAGTATGCATATCTGCTATTATGTTCAAGGTTTTCTTTTACAAAAAAATTTTGTTTTATGAATAGAAAATCATTTATATACGAAAGTTATAATTTGATTGAATATTTAAGATATCTCTAATCAATCATTTTCACACCAAAGAATAAAATATCATGTCACATTTGTCCGGCAATGAAGAAACGACATGTTCCAATACTGATTGTACATTGCCGATGGTTGATACATATGCCAATGCAATTCTTCGTACATTATCCTCACTTAAACCGCCATCACCACCAATCGCCTTATATACTTCTCGACAGCATCGTCGTTCTTATCCTCATGCTAAAACGGTGTCACAATCAGTTGTCGTAAATGAGGTAAGTGGTATGTGAAAGTTGTATATGTATACGTACTCTTCATTGTCTCACTGTTATTTTCAAGTGGAAATTGATGGGCGTAGTACCTTCTTTCTTTTTTTTTCCTTCCTTTATTCGATTCACGAGTACTCGCACTCTGCGGTTATGTCATACATACAGGACGTAATGATTTTTCGGCTTTCTCTGATATTGAATATCTCTGTATGTGTCCATATTCGTTTATTTTTGCTTGATATGTGATGACGATAAATTGATATTGTTTCGTCAAATGTAAAGAACGACAAGATTATCGTTGTCTCGAAATGCAGATCACACATCCATGTATATGTATATGGCACAAATTATCGAATGAAGAACTACAAAATTGACCTTCGAATGTAGTATACATTTGAGCTCGTTTGATCATATAAGAACAGGAAAAAAAAGGGAGAGAAATCATGTAACTGCTTGTACAAAAGTACAATTTATAATATGTAAAGTCATTTGCTTATTACTATTCTGGTCGGACGATGATTGAGCCTCTTGTTATAATGACATAAGCGGTAAGCAAAAAGAAGAGAGAAGACTATGGTAACCATCACCACGAAGTTTAAGTAATCTTTTGATAATTTGACAGAGAAGGAGAAAAATGAAAAAGAACGACACTGGAGTAGTATCATCTGTTGAGCAACGATAAGCTAGGTTCAATATTGACTTGAGATGAAATGACAATACATATACACATGCACACACGCACATGCACGCATACACAAGTAAATGCACGCGTACATGAATTACTCAACTAGATTTTATTCCGCGATAGTTTCGTATGATTTATATGTATGAAGAAAAAGAATTATGTCGATCAGGGAATAAGATCGAGGGAGAGAGAGAGGGAGAGAAAGTGAATCCTAACTAGTTTATAGTGAGCATTCGGCTGATGTATGTGATGAATTGTGCACATATTATTGATTTTATAAAGATGCAGCGTGCAGTTTGTCAAAGAACGATGTAAGTTGGTAAGAAGAATAGAGAAGGTGCGGAGGCGAAGTGGTACTGATTGTACAAAGCAAACGTGTAAAATGTATAAGTTTTCTTTTTTTTGTGTCTTCATTTCTTCTTCTTCTTCTTCTTCTTCTTGTATTATTCCTTGATTCTTAATAACGAGAAGCAGTGACCAACCGAGAACAATGGTTCAAATTGCCTGCTTCTCAAATTAAATTAAATTCTCTTTATTCTTAATATTGACGATCCGTTCTTATCGTCAAAACTATTCCACTTGATTGCTCAAAATTGAAGAGGAGTTAATCGACAGGTAAATAAAGGTTTCTTTTGTTACTTGACTCAATCGATCGAATTTACCTGGATAAAACACCTAGTTAAAGTCTGATAAGTTATCGATCTCTATCTACGTCGATGTCACGTAAGAAAACGAAGCACATGCTGAGTAAATAATAGCGAATGCCTATTGGAGTGTGATTATTCTCGACGAAAGACATAAACACTCGTATGAATAGCGGCGCCATCGGTAGAAAAACATACATAAGAAAGATGCGACACAAACCCTACTATACATAGTCGCAATGAAGCGCAGTAATTTGAGTGTAATATGTGTGTATAGTTACATATCGATGCAAATTTTTAAAGTAAATCTATTACGTCATTGTTTGTTATTGTCCCAAAAGGAATGTTAAGATTTTCGAAAGTAGTCTGTTCAACAGTCGTTTTCTTTTCTCTGTCTCTCTCTCTCTTCTAGAAAAATAAATCGATTGGTGTGTGTTGATTAAATAGCGAAAAGAATTTCAAGTATGAAAAGTTTTGATTGATTTTAATTTCGAGAGGAATTTTTTTTAAATTAGGATAAGTGCTTTCTTTCTTTTTCTCTTTCTTCGTCTTTAAGTTGATGAAATGAGAGAACAAAGAAAAAGAATTCGCATCGTTGCATGTTCTGTTTGCGTCGTTGAACTCTATCCGTGCTGATCGCTTTTAGTTCATTTGACCATTACAAGAAAGGTCCCGTATACGGCTTCATTTATGCATGCGAATATATATATATGCCTGGGATTCATGTGTATACACTCATGTATATGTTTTGATTTTCTTTTCTCTTTTACATTTTTTTTACTTTTCTTCTTTACACAGGCCACTTGAAAATTGCAAGAAAGAAGAGACGTTTTAATTTCGGACGAGAGAAGGAATAGATTCTAACGAAGAAGAAAAAAAAGCTTGAAAATAAATAGTGTAACAGTCCATCGTCAAATATGTACAGTAGTAAAACCTTTGTTGCTATTGCGGTTGTTATGTTGTCATCGTTTTACATTTTTATTTTTTTATAATCGACATCTATTCGACAAAAATAAATTACACACCATCTATAAAACACTTGTAACTAGCTTTTTGATTGATAAAGAAAAAAACTGTTAACGAAAAAAAAAGAGAGAATCAATGACAATAAGTTTAACATTGAGATTTAATTTTTGCTTGTTCGTCGACGAGTTACACACGTAAGGAAAATATTGATTTTGATCTACCTCGATTTCATTCATTTCGACACATGCTGTCGCTGTGTCTCTCTCTCTATGTCTTGAAGGTCAATGAAAGTGATAGGCGCAAGCAGACAGCCGATCTTTTCCTTCGATGTTTTCGTGTGAATTATCGAAAGAGAACAAAATTTCTCTATTTGCTACCTTACCCATTCAATGTTCATTGTCTTTTACATACATGAATATGAACGAGTGCGAGCGCTTATCTTGTTTACATGTGACTTAAAGATTTCTTTACATCGATATTTTTCTTCATCGTTCTTCACTCGACAATATGGCTTTGATTAATATGAAGCATTGCTAGTTCGTCGTTTTCGTGTTCTTCTCTCTCCTTCCGCTCATCCTTTCTTTCGATTGTTGTCTTTGACCATCGCATAGTAGACGCATGCATAGACTCATCTTTTCTTTATTTTATCCTATTTTCGTGCGTGTGTGGTCAAGGCGATTATGATTATACCCGATTAAAACAAACTGAGTATACGGAGAGATTTTCTTTCGTCGAACATGAATTTTGAAATTTCCTCGCCGAACGTCATGGTAAGTTTCGATTATTGAATTTTTTTTCTTCAAGTAAACCTGAGGGTTGTATAGATTTCTTTTTAAGAAACTCACACCCTTCTTTTCTTCTCACATTAGTGATTCATTTTTTTTTCTCTCTTCTTTTTCATTGAGATTATTAACGGTTTTTTTTCAGTGGTTTTATTTTGCAAACATCAATTCTTTATAAAACACACATATTACTTGACGAAGCGAAGAAAGACAAATAGAACACACACAAGATGTCTTCGTATACTGTTTTAAGAGTTGACAGTAAACATGCGCATTCATTCACATTTCAGCTTCAGGGGTTTGAATCGTATGGTACCGTGAAGGTTAATGATTTTCTCATTAGATTTGTTGAGGCGCAAAGATAGAGGAAAGAGCGAGTTCAATCGCGTATGCAGACAGTTTGTTCTCACTTTTGCATCGAGTTTATACTTAGAATTTCACATCAAAAGAAAAGGAAGAAGTTCTTCATTCTTCATACTCTCATTGTATTATCGTGAAGAATAGTAAAAGAACATGCGTCGCATAGCCAGCAAAAAAAAAGAAAGAACCAAATAAAATAACGGTGGAAGCCAAGTGCAGGCAACTTTTACTCACATATATTTTTCTTCTCTCTTTGCTCAGTGTGTTCCCTTTTTTTTTTCTTTATTCTTTATTTTAACCCATGCCAAGAGGCAGCTGTGACACATAGACGGCCGAATAATTACTCACTATTAGATGAATATTTATTTTTCATTTTTTAGTTAGTGGACGGCTCTTCGGATAATCAACCATCACTAGCAGATCCCTCCTCATTGTCTTCCTCATCCTCATCTCTATTCAGTTCATCGTCGTATTCACCCGATCATAGCTGTGGCAATTGTTTTACTATTGAAGCACATTTACCTCTCGTGAAAAATAATATCGAACAAGTTGAAAAATTCAAACGATTATTATCTCGCTTGGACAACGTTTACAATAATAATAATAATAATAATAACAGCAATAATAACAATAACAACAATAATCAAAATATGTCAACCACAACTTTACCGTTACCTTCGACAACGTCACCGCATGTTACTGATCGTTATCTTTTTCGTTCGCTCTCAAATGATAATCAAAACTCACGAATATCTGCAGCAAAGAAGAACAAATTGTCCAATGCACCACCATCATTAAGTAAACGTTATAAATTTTCGTCGACTGTCACCGATCAAAATAATAATGATGTCTATAAGTTTCCTAATGGCCAAACGGAACAACGTTCACATTCGACTGATTCGGACCGATACTATTTCTCAACAGGCGACTCTGCGAAGAAACCTCAACAAATATTAACATATGTTCGATCTGGTTCCGGCTTGGAGCAGCGTGCTGTTACCTTTATTGATGGAGCGTCAATTTCATCTGATAAAGTTTCTTTACCGACAACAAAGTCAATACAACCAACTACTATTGTATCGGATACGCCTTATCTTTTCTCAAAGACAACAGAATCCCAGCGACAACCAGGTGCAACATCGTCAGTCAACCCAGAAGGTAAGTGAATCGAGCCACCAACTGCAAATAAAAGAGAAACAGAAAAAAAAGAGAGAAGAAAGATAAGTCTAAAGAGTTTATTTTGCAATGAAGACTATCACAAACGAAGCATCCATTTTAAATAACTTGCATAGTTTGTTTTTCTTTTCAAGATGACTGGCTAGAACAACGACAGCAACCGCATATTATCTTCGATAGTATCACTGATTCGTCGCCCAATTCACAACTAAAACGCCCACGTACATCAAGTACAAGTCCAGAACGCCGACGCATATCAAAACATTCACCCACGCGTATGGATACTGTCACATCGACAAATGGCTCATTGTCGACATTACGACGATCACCCCCAACTAAAGTGCAAAATGTTCGCTTTGATCCAACATCGACACAGAAATCATATTTAAGTGAAGCAAAAGAACGCTTAGCAATCAAAAAGCGTGGACGATCACCACAAGCTTTACAACAATCAGTTGACCGTTTAGTCTCATCAACAAATCAAAAATATCGCCAACAGCAAATTTTCTCACCGCCTGCCCCATTTCAACCATCACAACAACAACATCAAAGTTATATCAGTCAATATTATGCACAAGAAGAAGAACCTCCTATTGATTATCCAATGGATAGCGATGATGATGAACCACAAAAACGTTCAACCTTGTACAATCGTGGTTTGAACGCTAATAGCGCACACGAGCGAATCTTGAAACACGTCAACGGTAGTTTGCTTGACCGGCGATACTTAGGTGATACCAATCGCATCAAACAACTGGAACAGAACGCTCATCGTTACCTACGTTTTATCGAAAATCAGTCGTTACAACGTGAATTAAATTATGATTTAATTCGATGTTTCTCATCCACATATCTCGATGATTTACGCCGTGAAGAAAACCGACATTTTCAAACGCGAGTTAACATGCGATCATATACATATGAAGATATACAAGACATTCATATGTCGCAAGTTCTCGAAGCTTTCAAGATGAAACGAGCGATCGACAAAGAAAAACGTCTCCGATTGAGTGCAAGTTTCGATGGACAAATTACATCATCAACACCAACATCATCCATTGGTGCGGGACACTTATCGCCTCTCTCGGCTTCGTATAGTCCAGTCATGACTGGAAGTCTCAACGAAAATATTGATGCGCAATCAGGTGGTTTTGAAATCGATCGTCGATCAATAAAATCACATACTTCGGTAAGCGGTTTCGTTATTTTACTTTTATATTTATTTGATTTGAAAACGAAGAACAGATGAGATTCATAAGCTATTTTACAGAGAATTCCTCTCACCCGACCATAATTGCTCGATCAACAATTTTTCTTCCATTCTTTTCTTCCCGCTTATATCACCATTTATATTAAAGTATTCAAACATATCAAATTTCTACTTGATAAATGATCAATGAATTCTTATATAATCTAATCTCTCAATATCACACGAAACGACGAAGGTTATATTCTGTTCAATAGATTAAAACATTTTTTTTTGCATTTTTCATAATCAAAAGCATATGTAAATGTTGCTATACACG